TTTGCTAGTGGGGCTGCAGGCGGTGAGAGGCCGCTCCGGTTTATTCATGCTCGGGCTAAGTGCGGCTGCGATCTCCGGAGAGAAAGAGAGGGTGTAAGGGGAGGTGGGGCGGGAGCGAGACGTGTCCCATCGCGGGAGGCGGAGGCCGCGGGCCCTGCCCATCCCCGAGGCGTCGTCCCGCGCCTCGTCCCTCTCCCGGCTCCTCGGCCGCCTCCTTGGCTCTGTTTGTTGGAGGCTCTTCTGTGCTCCTGCCTTCTTCCCTCCTGTCGCTGCTTCCGCTCCGCCGGACGGCGAGAGCCGCGTTTTAAACCCTGAACCCCCTCCGCCTTGTCCCTGGCCTCGGCGCCGGTCTGCCCGGTTCGCTCGAAACGTGGCGATGGCTGCGGGTGCCGGAGCGACTCTTGAAATAAATTTAGAGGTTTCCTCACCCGTTCTTAGTGGGATATGTGTGTTAGCGTACACCTCATGACCCGGATTATCCTTCGCAACAAGTTAAGAGGCTGTCGATTTCTGCCTCGAGGAAGGTTGTCCCCGTGAGGGCTGCCCCTCCCTCGGGGGGTTCCGGCCGGGTCCCCCTTCTCGGTGTCAGTGCGCCCCGTGCCCTTAGAGCTCTGGCCCACCCGAGCTCCAGAGACATGACCTTATACAAGAGACTTGATAAAACGTTTCACTCTAGTAACGAGTACTTCCTAAGCAAGTTGTATTGATGCTGCATTTCCTTTTAATATATTAAATTATCTAACATGAAAGCAAAGCAGTTGCACAACGTGCCTTTGTAGTCAGAGGTTTAAAGGAGAGCCCGCTGCTGAAAGGAGGCGCATCACTGTCAAAGTGGCAGAAATTATTTTATTGTGATGGGAAGTTAGCTTCTGACATGTGAAGTTTCTTTACCAATCCTAAACAGAGTCATTTATTATAATTAGTACAGTTATTATTTCAGGATAGTACAATAGTTGGGAGTACTAAAAATTGAGGAAAAATATTAGAGAGACCCAGCTTTTCCTCTTTTTCTTTTTTTTTCTCCTCTACCTCCCTGTGGTTTTATTCTCAAGATGTTTTGAGCTTGCTGTGTAACGAGAACTACATCACTGAGGAACTCACTTGTAATGGACACTTTAGTTGCTTTCACACAGGATTTTTCGATTGGTTCCACCCAAAAAAATGGGAAATATTGACCTTATGTGTGCAGATGCTCTAGGGGTCTGCTGGGAACACATGTGAGGACTGTTGCTGGTGAAGCAAAATGCCAGTACCCAAAATACCATTTTTGCTCGCAGGTGAACAGATTCAAAAGTGAGGAAAAGATGACAGTAAAGCATAAAAGGGGTGGATGATAAGCAGCAAGGTGCAAGAAAAGTGTAGTTACTGTCCTTATCAATTTAATAAGTGAACAGTAATTAAAACACTTATTAGTAGTTTTGGCAGTGTTTGGCACCCTTCTTGTTTTCTGTGGTACTGTGGGGGTGTTGGATTTCTTATCCCTCAGAAAGAACACATTCTAAATGATTCCGATAGAACAGGGTCCCCTTTTTGCCTGTCTGCTGTCATATATAGAAATTACTTTAGCGCTATCTCATAGGAAGAAGAAAAATAGCTTTCTGCCTGACAGAGTTATACTTTCAAAATAATTTTCTGTATATTACACTTTTTTGTTCATGGTTCAACGTTTTTAGCAGTTACAGAGAAACAGAATAATGAAGCACCTAAGACCTTCTACCAGTTCCTCCTCCACGACATTTCCTCTCTGTCACATCGGGGACGTCTTTCCTTTGGCTGTGGGTTGGCCACATCAGGGGAGGAAATGGGCTTTGTCTCTGCCTTACTTGGGTGTGCTGTATATATTAAATGACGGGCTAATGTGGGGAGAAGTCTGATTTGCTTAAGTACATACTTAGTTTTTCTTCTGTATTTTTCTGTTTGGCCTAGCATAATTCTTCTGACTCTTAGTCTGTTACCATCCAGTCCAGTTGCATCATCTCATCTCATTCTCTCTGAACACAGAGATGATTACTGATTGTTTTGTTGTGTGTTTTGCCCGAGATCTTTCCTCTAGGCTGAGAACCATCTGGGAAAACTGTCTCTTCTCTCTGCTTTCTTAATTTCCACTCTCACTTCCTGTCTTGCGTCCTGATTCTTCCCCTCCAAACACAGCTGGAAGGAAGAGTTTTAAGCTAGGGTGTGAAAAATCCCGGTGTGGAGAGGGGGGAATAGGGAAAAAACCCAAATATTATTTAAGCTGTGGGATACTTGATAAATTGTTAGAAAAAGAGCTGGTGTTATACATAGAAGCCATCTAATTGAGTTGCCTATATTAATGTATTACTAGTAAATCGGAATTGCGGTTTTCACCTACACTTCCAGTTTTAGTGTGCAGTTTTCCTCTAACATGAATGCAAACATGAATTTAAAATCCTACTTGTATGCTTTCTTGAGCATTTTGATCTGTTTCATCGCTCCCTGGTTGTGTTATTCCCAAGGTTAGCTATTGTACTTATTTTCCGAGTGTGTTTTCAGTGATAGGAAATTTAGTGAAATTTTTTGAAAGAGCAGACTTTAGAGAGCTCTGGCCATGTGTGTTTCAGCTGATTCATTATGCTTAGGGTTTTTTATGTTAATTTGGAGCTAGAAATAGGAAAATAGTAGAGTTGTTGGAAGTGTGTATAAAAGTAAATGTTTGCAGGTCTGATCCCTTGAAATATGCATTTGATGAGTGTCTAGAATTCGCTGTTATTTAAGACCATGGTGTTTTGCACTTTTGTATATTAGGCTCTAAGAGTCACAGGAGATTTAGTTGTTCTTCCTGATCATGAAACCATTTACAATCTTCCTTTTTTAAACAACTGATTTGACATTAAAGTATAACATTGCATTGATTTTCAGGTAAGTGTGTCTGGAGCACAGTTGTCATCAGAAGCATGCCGAGAGCTGGGCTTCTCCAGTAACTTACTGTGCAGTTCTTGCAACCTTCTTGGGCAGTTCAGTCTGAATCAGCTGGATCCGTTCTGCAGGCAGTGCTGCCAGGAGGAAGCTCAGCTGGAAACCAGGAAGGTGGGTTTTGGACCAAATCCTTTGTGGGATAATTTAACACATTATGTTACGTTTATGATATTTTTAATTTTAAAAATATACAAGAGTATGGATTATAATTTCAAGAGGAAAATGCAATGTTTCTTGACAGTCTAGTATACACAGAGCCTAGATTTGCAGACTTGCCATACTACTCTAAAATAACATCCCTGTATGAGCAGAGGAACCTTTGGTTCTGTGATAGTTGTTCTCTAGTTTGAAGTGACTGATGGGAGATACGTCCAGCTTCTTTAAATTGAAAGAGGGATGGGATTTGAAGAGGGAAAAAGGAAGCGGATAAGGAGGCTGTTGTTCTTGATCACAGCTGTTGCTTGGTCGTTGACCCTTAGAGGTTCAGTGGTTCAGTTTTCCGTGGTTCAGTTCATTCCCGAGGACAAAAGGGTGGTGCACCCTCCCTCAGGTCTGCTCCTCACGTGGCCTGAACCTGATTGAAGCAGGACTGCTTAACTCCATTTTGCAGCAGTCAGAATAGCTCGAAATCCTGGGAATAATCTTGCTCAGAGCACATGCTGTGCGTCTGTCAGACTAAGGCAAAACCTTTCCTTTATCTGTAATAAGTAAATATCTATCTTGCTTAAAGCACATCAGCAAGGGAGAATTTTTACTCTTGAGAAGAGTACATGCTTTCAAATATGTTGTAATTTAGAAAATTACAGAAATAAAATCTAATGAGATATACCAAAGGGGAATGAAGACATAGGAAAGGATCTCATCTGATCTGTGTCTGTGTACCACAGATCAGATACAGCTGTGGCAGCAGCAAGGCTTTCTGTCCTCACTTCAGGAGCGGATGCTTTTATTTGTTTGGGTAATATTTGTACAGTTTTGCATCAGCTTGCATAAGATACAGCACAAGAAGTTGTGGACCAGGATAATTTGTGTTGTCATTTGTCGGGAAAATAAACTAGAGGAGTTAGGTTGCATTTGTGTGGATGGGACTTCTGAGGAAAAACATTCTGGATCAGTTTATCAGTAATTTACTCAAGGGTGTAACTTAGTTTGTATTGTAAACAATGCATTAATAAAGGTTTGATCAAGCAACAGGATTTAAATCAATGGATATTTGTCTTACTATCCTGAATCAGACCTAGATTTCATCATGCTGATAATCACACTTCTTGTGTAAGACTAATCAGAATGCCATTTTGTGGTCAATGCTTTACATTGAAAATATTTTTAGTCTCAAAACTTCTTCTGTTTTAGTTGTGGTGAATGTAGCAGAACAAAAAGCACAGCACTGGATGGGTTCTCAAGGTTGTTTGACAAATCTCTTCACAGTGAAGCATAATTTGTTGTATATTCGTAGGAACCAAGAGTTTATGTATTATTATAGGTTGGTTTTAAATCAATTTGTGTTGGTTTACCCGGTTTCATTTTCTGCTCGTGCTTTATAGTAAATGTGAGCAATTTGCAGCAATAGCACAATTCAATGTATATCTTGATTATTATTTTATCTTTTCTTACTTCTGTGACATTCTGGAAGAAATTTAATACAAATGGTACTTGAGATTTGGAGGTAGTGTGTTAAGTATCGGCCTGAATTATAGGAGTGATTATGGTACCGTTTTCATGCATCTCCATCCCCAGGTTTGAGTGCAGGCTTTCCGTACCGCATGTGTGAATAGAAATATCACATTGTTCTAACCTTGCACTTATACAGTTGAGTGCTAAATTATACTATTGTTTCTAATATTCCTTTGAATGCCGTTTGGGAAGGTGGAAATCTTTTTATTCTGTTGCCACTACTTGGAATTTTTTTTAAACTTGTACAGAGCAAATACACTTGAAGACTAGCAAGTGGAAAAATAGTGTTGAGAAAACTGACCATGAATGCTGTCTTAACAGATTGTGGTCAGAATCAGGACATTTTGGATTGGCTTGTATTTTAACATAGCACTGGTTGTAACAGGTGTCTGTAATTGAGCTTAAGGTTTTACTCCTACATAAAAATTAACAATCTAATTTATAGTACCTTCTTGCTAAGGTAGTGTTTTCATGAAATGTGTGCCAAGTAGGAAAACCGAATGCCGCTTTTTGCTGGTTTTTTTTTTTCCTTTTGCTTAGTTTTTCTGGTTACCGTAGAGATCTTTCTAATGAAAATTCGACAGTCAAGAGCGAATGGGTGTTAAAAATCTCAAAAATTGTTTTCCTGCCTTCTGAAAAGCCTTACCCTACAAATCTGTATCTAGATGTAAGATAGCCTGACTTGCTGATGAGCAACGTTATGTGTTGCTGAGTTCTGGGGCAGTGGTGCTCTGGGTTTTGCTAAAGCCGTCACTACATGCTTGAACGTCCTCGAAGTACCTGAATCTTTTCCTGAACCATGATTCCAGTCCGTGACCTGGCTTGTTCTTTATGTGAGCAAATATTTGTTCCTGTCCCGTGACGCAGCGTGTTGGTAGTGTGTGCTACAAACAGACTTGCAAACTGTTAGAATTAGAGCACCGACTTCAGGATTTTAAGTTAATTCTTATAACTATGTGGCAAGTGTTAGAGAAAGGAAAACTTAGTTTACTGCATGATTTGTACCCAAGTTTTAAATGAGAGTTGAGAATTAAAGGTAAGGGTATAGCATGTGTATCTGAGAATTTTTACGTATCGTAGTTACTTTTCACAAATAATCTGCGAAATATGCCCAGTCCTATAAATACTTTGTGTTGAATAGCATCAGTGCAATCTCAAAGGTGATGTATACAGATTTCATGTGTTTCATATCCTTGACAGATGTCCTGGTCTCGTTATTGGTCCAGTGTTCTGTGAACTGACGTTGCGGAAAATAGCTGGGAGGTGCTTTTTTTACCCATTGTTCGTCTTGCTCTTAACGTCTGCTGACACCTGTCCAGTGAGATATTTTAATTACTTCATAATTGTACTGTGGGTAAAATGAAAAGGAATTGTATTCATTTTCAGACTAATTCAGAAGCTAACTTAAATAGTGTTGTTTTAGACAGCTGCAAGTCTTACGCCTCAGTCTGTCAGATGCAGAGCGCTGCTGGTGTGTAAAACGTAGAAGGATGAAGTGGAGGTGAAGCTAACTGTGCGTGAAATTGTAGTAGCAGGAGAGATGGTCCATATTTTGCAGCAGCTGAAAATAGCTGCACTCCATCTGCAGCTTCTCTTAAGCTGTCTGATCATTTCAGACATAGCTATAAGCATATTCCATTAATTGTATATTATAGTCTTAGGTTTATCTCAGCAATATATGCATCACAAAATCCAAACTGATTTTAAGCATCAACTCTGTGATGAAATTTGCAATACATTAAATTTCACAGTTGCACTGTGCAGGATAGCTACAAATCCTTAAAAGTCAATGGTATTTCTAAACAGTATTCTGAAATATATTTTGCTCACTAAAATGTGTTGAACTTCAGCATTTTAAATATCTGTTGTCAATTATTTGTCATGTTGTGATGTTGTGGAGTTAGGTGAATTAGATAATGTCACATCAGGCATAAAAAAAACTTGCTCAGAAACTTGAGACATGAAAATGGATGGTTTAGACAGCAAGGTCTCATGGGTAACACCGCAGGTACCTATAATACACGATTTTGAAATAGTTCATTACTGTAAAATAAGGCATATGTCATGATACAGAAGTCTATATGCATACCTTTAAATTATACAGAGATGGACAGTAACTGCTCCACTGCACAAGTTTGAGCAAAACCATCTAAAATCCTGAGATTTTTAGCAACTTACTTGTGCACGTATTCAAGGTTGTCAAAACATGGTAAGCTGTCAAAGCATGGTTTAATAATTCATTGGAATACCTGGCCTCTGCATTGCTAAGGTAATGAGAAGTTTAGGATTATTTTTCACCAGACTTGTACTAGATGTAACAATATAAATGACTCATGTATTTTAGAAATTGAAATGGGTTATTGTGCTTTAAGAGGGGAGGTTTCCAACTTGACATTCTTCCCACATCAGTAAATCTAAAAGTTTCATTTCATTTTGACATGAAAGTATTGCAAAATACTTACCTGAAGTAAATGTGGGCAGCTTAAACTTTGGCTATTAGTTTTTCCAAAAAATCTTAAAGCCCATATTAAGGTTGCTTTATATTCAGATCCCCATTCTACATCCTACCTGAACCTAAAATGATTTTCAGTATTTATGACTGATGTTTGCAAGTTAATGCAAGTCTATGGACATAACCCCGTTAGCTGTAGGAAACAGAATGGATGAGATTTAGAAACCGCTGGTATTTAGTGACCTTTCGTAAGCATTGTGTTTTCTCAGCATTATGAAAAATGCTGACAACTGAGTCAACTAGGGAGAAAATCCTAATAATGCACTCTAAAACACTCTAGAAAATGGGGAGAAAAGCCAAAGCACAGCAGAGGAACCTTTCCTAGAGTTCTGGCCTGGATTTCCACTGGCCATGGCATGTCTTCTTCCCTGCAGTTTGGTTGATCCAAACATGGCATCTCAGGACCTTGCAAACCTGTTCCACAGTGACACTGTACCTGGTGCTGTTCTTAACAGGGCACTTGGACATTCCTGCAGGAAGATCACACCCTGTTTGCACTGCATCAAGCTGAGGTTGTTTTTAGTGTAAGCCCTTGGTGCTTGAAGTTGTGAGAAGTCATTTTAGGACGTGCGTGATTCAGCCTGTTTCAACACTGCAAAACCCCAGAGATGGAGTCTGTTGAAAACGAACCTTGGGCCCTGACCCCTTCTGGCATGTCAGCCACCAGCTCCTGCACGTATTGCACAGCTTACGAGATGTTTTTGTGGGTGAAAAACACACAGGCGAGGGGTGACACACAAAAGAAGAGTGAATTGTACCTCTTTAGCCCGTGGAATAAGTAGCTGCTAATGTTCAGCCTGGTCTGTTCTGAAGAAAAGATGACTCTTAATTTCACGGAAAAGTAAAAAATACGCCTACACAAATCTGTTTTTCTGTAGTCTGCCTTGCCTGTCGCTCCCAACACAACAGTCACTCAGGCCTTCAA